TCTCTCTCTCTCTCTCTCTCTCTCTCTCTCTCTCTCTCTCTCTCTCTCTCTCTCTCCCTTCTTCCCTCCTTCTCTGCTTCCCTCCCTCCCTCCGTCCCTCCCTCCCTCCCTCCCTCCCTCCCTCTCCCCTTCCTTTCCATCAATCGAGAAAACAGTAAGAAGAGGAGTATGAAGACATTACTACGGCTTGTCAGACTCTAGTTCTGCTGGCACCATGATCTTGGACTTTGAAAATGATTTTCTCAGTCCCTGGAGCTACGGGGAAGCCATTTCTGCCACCTAAGGTGTCCAGTTTAAGGCGTTCTGTTTCAGCTTCATGAAATAAAAGGAGATATGATGGTACTGAGATAAACCAGAGACCTCTCCCAAGGCTGGTGTCTGGGGTAGACCTCCTGGAGAGGTGACAGAGGTGACAGCTAAGGCAATGAAGACACCGAAGACACTGGCGGGAAGAGTGGACCTCACTCATGGGAGCTGCATGAGGACTTTGCAGTGACATAGACATGGACCAAATCTTGAAAATCTACATCAAATACAAAAGAACTCCAAAACCGATCTAAGTGGGAGATTTAATCTGGGAAAGCTTATGAAACTGCCAAGTTGAAATGGCAGGGATGGCCAAGCAAGGAAGAAATAGATGTGCACATTACTTATTACAGTATCAACATAGTACAGCTACAAAGAAGTACAGTCCTTTCCTCTCTGGTTCCTCATCTGTCTCTTTTTCTACCTTACCAACCATAACTGGTGTGACTGCCATGGCAATCCCAGGAAGTAAGGATCCTCATGCATCAGGAGGGTGCACTCTGTCGGACATCTTACCATGTGTCCTAGACACATTTCCCGATTTCACCCTGTCACTGTCTCGGGGGAAGCACCGCTCACACTCACACTTTTAAATTCAGAAACTGGAGCTTAAACTCCTGTCCAAAATCACAGTTAATAAATGACAGGGCTGGGAAGGAAGCAGGTTAACCTGTGTCTAATGTTCAGCTTTCTTACAGGTTTCCTCCCAGAAGATGACGTTAGGGGTGGAATGAGTTTTATACATGACAAAATAAAAAAAATGTTATAGACAAATTTCCCAGAAGGTTTCTGACTATTCTAGCCTTTGCAGAAGCATTCAAATGAGGAAGCAAGCCAATCTCCATTAAATCGGAGTGCTACCTGTTAAAAAAAAATACCTCATCCTTGACTGGGTATTTGTCAGAGTTCTTGTTCTGGCCCCAAGATAGAGTGTCATCCTCTCTCAGCCCAGCTATGCCACTTACAGCTTGAACATCGTTCTTGGAGGCAGAGGTTTTCTATCCATAACCTTGTTGCTAGGATACATATCAGTTTCTCAAACTGCATGGTTTTGAAACAAAAGGCAGAGAAACTGTGGCAGCAGCTCTACCTGGGTGCAACTGACGTCAGGACTCTGTGAGGGAAAGCCATCCCTGTTGCTCCCCATGCTCACTTCCGGAAAGGACTTATTTTCCAACATCCTCTTGGCATGTTTTCCTTTGTCTCTATTTGTATGTTATCCTGCTGTAGGAAAATGCACTACAAACTGTATTATAGTTTCACAACTGGGAAGGTATTTAGTTTATACTTTAAAACTTAATGAAACACGGAGTTCTGAATTCAGTGATGGCAGAATTCATTCTATAAATTGACATCTGTGATATCTGGCACACATATAAAGATTACTGGAAGCCATGATGACTGGCAGGCATTCACTGGGTTGGGATTCAAGCTTAAAACAATAGGAATGTACCCTGTGATTCTCTTTTGCTTGGGACCGACTCTAAGGTACCTCCTAGTCTGGCAGTCACACACGACTGCACCTCAAGCAGAAGTCTGGAGAAGTCAAGACAGTGTGGGAGCTAGGAGGTGGGCTTAAGGTTGAGGGGAAACTACTTAGGGTCTCATCAGAGAAGGAAGGAAGCAGAGAGACTCAGCTGAAGTGTTGGAGTGCGAGATGAGGAGACATTTTGAAGGCTGAGGACCACTGATCAAAACCTGTGCCTGGCTGAGACACAAACGAATGATAATGTAAACCTTACACCCAAAGTCTCAGTGGACCATGATGAGAGGTAAAATACTGTCTCAACCTTACAAAATTCACCCTCAATCTAAAAAAATATTGGAAAAGATCCACCTAACAGGCAGAGAGCCAAGCTTCCCCAAATGTGAGGTGATTGCACGTTACCTGACTGGCTGCTAGAACAAAGGGTTTTCAGAGGATTCCAATAGACTTAGTATCTATACAACATAAAATCCTGTATAACACTAACAGACTATAACATGAGAGAAGAATAGGTCAGTCCTAGTGAAGAGAGAAGCAGTGGGTGGCAATGATTCCAAGGTGACTCAGAAGTAAGTCTCAAATGAAGACTAAACATACTACAGATACCTTCAAAAATGTGCTTTAAAAGGTGACCAGAATCAACTGAGAAGCCCAGCATGGTGGTGCACACCTTTAATCTCAGTGCTTGGGAGGAAGAGGTAAGTGGATCATTGGGAGTTCAAGGCTGGCCTGGTCTACATAGTAAGACCCAGTCTCAGGCAGACAGACAGACAGACAGACCAGGATATATGGACAGATGGCAAGGATCAGAGAAACTAAAATATAAAGAATTTTGTGGAAATTCAGGAACGAAAGGAGTGATATCTGAAGTGAAGAATTCAGTAGCTATATTGAGCAGGTTACAGACAGCAGGAGTCAGTAACTTATGAAGAGAACACAGCAGAAATGATCCATTTATAAAACAGAAAGACTGCATTGAAATCGAGTTTTACCTCAGGGCCATAAAGGCATCTGAATAGAGTGTAACTGGAATCCTAGAAGACTAGGAAAGTGGAACAGGTTTAAACACACACACACACACACACACACCACATGCATATATACACACATACATATATACACACACACCACATACCTACATGCACATACACACATACATACACACACACACACAACCCCCACATGCATATATACACACATACATATATACACACACACACCACATGCACATACACACATCCCTAAAAGCACCATAAGCAAACTGCTATGGTAGAGTGTTATGGAGGAGACAAGAGGCAAGGGAGAGATACACTATGTACAAAAGAACAAAAGTTCAAATGATGGCTCATTCAGAAATGATAGAAACACAAAAACAACGAGCATGCCCTGCAAAGGGCTGGAACAAATCTGTCAGACTGAACTTTCTGCCCACTGACACATCTTTCAGAAATATATTCAGACAAGTGCAAGTTGAGACAGTTTCTTTCTAGAGGCCTACAATACAGACTTTCCTCTACAGACAATATGCAAGAGACAAAAGTGAGTTACTTAGGCTATAGCAGAATGACCAGATGGAGGCAGGTGTAGACTGCTCCGTGTAAGAGGGGATGAAGATATTCAGAGGCAGATGCTCACAACTAGCCATTGAACTGATCATGGGGTTCTCAATAGAGGAGTTAGAGTGAAGACTGAAGGAGAGCTGAAAGGATTTGCGGCACCATGAGGAGAGCAACAATACCAACCAACCACAGCTCCCAGGGTCTAAACCACCAGCCTGGGAGCACTTAGGGGGGGATCCAGGGCTTCAGCTGAATATGTAAAAGTGGAGGGCCCTGCTGGGCATAGGTGGAAGAAGAGAACCTTGACCTCATGAAGGCTGGATGCCCCAGGGGGTGGGAATTTTGAGGGTGGGGAGGTGGGAGTGGGGGGGTGTAGATAGAGGTTACATCCACAGAGAAGAAGGAGGAGGGGCGAGGGGATTGGGGGTTCCGAGGGGGTGGTGGGGGATGGGGTAAGGGGACAACATAGGAAATGTAAATAAATCATCCAATAAAAAAAATAAAAAAAATAAAAAATAAAAAGAGGGGATGAAGAGCAACAGAAATGTTAAGACTCTGAACAAATATAAAAATATTGTTTTATTCCTTTATTTGTCTTGAAAATATGGGTTATTAGATAAAAACAAGGATATGAAGTTACAAGTAGAGTGCTAACAAGCATATTGTGTATGATCAGTGTGTACGAATAGGCTTATGATAAGTTATATCATTACAACATTATTATATTTTAATGACTAGTATGATGCTAAGTAATGTAATGAATTGATACACATTAAAATCTCTAGAAAAATAGATACTATCAATTGTAGCTTAAAATAAAGGAGAAATGTTTTTATTGCATTTATTGGTCAGTGTGGGAGGGCACACATGTACCATGGTGTGCACATGCTGGCCAGAAGACATCTTGTGATAACGGGCTCTGTTTTCACTATGTGGGTCCCAGGAACACATCAGACTTGGTGGCAAGTGCCTTTATA